CATATATTTTTCCTACAAAGTATATCTCAAGAATAGATCAAGCAACTTGGAATCATATTTTTCTGATGTATATCCTATTTATTAGACATTTTCTAAGAAATCAGCATTTATTTAATTTAAATAAAGCTACACAGAAAAGTATCATAAATTTGACATGCAATATTTTTAACAGATAGATCTAGTCACAAGAGACCTAGCAAAACTTATTTCAACAAATTTGGTGCCATTTTAAGCAAGTTATAACTTTCCAAAGCATTTAAATAGAAATCTAAAAATCATTTCTTAAATTCTTTCTGAAAATACATGTTCAAAACTGCTAGATCCACTCGGATCTCCACCCAGGCTTGCACCCCTGCGGCTGACAGTGGCCCCTAAGGCCGACTGGGCCCCACCCGTCAGTCGAACAGAAACCAGAGGAGATCACCGGTGGCGAGAGCTCGCCGACGGTGAAGTCTCCGGCCAGCTAAGGTGACCAGCGTGCTCCCCACCCTCGCGCGAACCCAACGGTGCGCGTGGCATGGGCCAAGGAGCTCGGGAAGCCGGGCGCTGCCGTGCATGGTGGAGCGGCGGCGCGGGTCGTCGCCGGTGGGGCGTCCCCGACCATGGCACGGTGGGTGGAGGCGCTCGGGAGCCTCAGTGATGCGGTGTGGTGCTCTTGCGCGAGAAAAGAGAGCGGGATGCGAAGCGGAGAGGAGATGTCCACGGAGTGGAGCACTCCGGCGAGGAGGAGCTCACTCCGATGAGCGATTCATGGCTGGTGAAAGCTTACCAAGGTGAACCGATGCGAGCACCAGCTGCGAGATGGCAAAGCGAAGTAACGACGAAGATGGAGCTAGCTCTGGCGAACTGGAGCGGCCGAAACGGCTAACTCCGGCGAGGCGCGGGTGCGGGCGGTGGCGGAGGCGAGCGCGTGCGCGTGCTCTGCTGCTGAGCGAGACGCAGGGGGACAAGGCAGCAAGTGAGAGGAGCGTGGGGTGGAGCGCGCGTCTGGTCGGCTCTTGAACCGAGCGCTGGTCGGAGCACCGCCCTTCGCCGCCGGTGTACGGACGCCGCGTGGCTGCCGGGCAGGCGGGGAAGGCGGGCGCGGCGCGTTCGCGCACGGGAGCGGCCGCGGCGTGGGCCTGGGCCGGTGAAGCGACGCTGGGCCAGACGCGGGGCGGGCGGCCCGGTAAGAAGCAAATCGAATTTTTCAATTTATTTTCTATTCCCAACTGATTTGAATCACAAATTTGAGCGACCAAAAACCGTTTTTAGGATTTGGGGTAAAAATAAAAGTTGTCCAAAAAAATGTACTCTACAACTTTGCCAAAAAGAGTAAGGCCAAAATCCAATTAGATTTTGAACTATAGATTTAAAGTTAATTTAAATCAAAAACCCTATTTTAGAAGATTATTTTTAAAAGCAAAATTTGAGAAAACTTTGAATATACACCTTGCTCCAAATTGCATCCTAATTACTTCTAAGTGGTCTAAGTGATCAACCAAGGTACACACATGGCAAAACAAACATAGCATCCAATCTATTAAAACACAACTATGCAACATACATGTTTCATTAGTATGTTTCATTTCTATATTTCATGTCATGCTTATGGATGCATAATAATGATTATGCTCATGATTTGCAAAATGTTAATGCATGCTTAACACCGAGGTGTTACAAAGTCATTGTAATGTGTTTAAGAAATAGTGCCCAAGTCATGTACTTGCTTAGTGGTCCTATAGTATAGACATGGGTGTACACATGTGTACACCTTTTTTTTGGATCCAGGAATTATGATTTGAGAGGTCTATATAATACATGTACATACTCTTGGCTGAGCTTAAAACAATCAATTTGCGCTTAATTTCCTCTGTATATTGATTTATTTATGTCTCCAACCAATTGGTTTGTATTGTTGACCAAGAACTTTTATGAAGGGATAGCATTCGAGATGAACATTTGAGCAAATGGATTTGTTATAAACATATATGGTGAACACACATTTAGCTATGTACCATGTACACCAGCTCTATATAAATGTCACTAGCATAGTGTCACACAAAACTAGTTACAGTTTAAACTTTACCTACATGGACCTCTATATGCTAGTCATGGTTGGGTGACTAGCAGCACATTGATTCATTTGGATTTCGTTTGCGTTCTTTTGGTTCGTGAAGAAAATCACTTTTGGTTTGTGTGAGAGAAAAATATTGTTAAAATTTGAAAATTTACGATCGTTATTGACGACAAACCACGTACCTAAACGAACATCTAGAAAGCACGTTTGGATTGGATTCTAAAACCTAGATTCTGGATAAAAATAATCTCCGATGGTTTTTGGATTATGTGTCTGTGTGATAGAATCCTCTAAAATTTCAAGATGTTTGGATGCTATGTTAAGATTTTGAGATTTTTTTTCTATCTGGATTCCTAGAATCCCATGATCCAAACGGTACCTTTATACCTCCTCCGATTTCATAATCCTGCGCCGCCACTGGTTCGCGGGATGATTGCATACCGTGGGTGGAAGCTGTTGGCAGGGAGAAAGCGTGAGACGGTGCTGTGGACTGTGGACGTGTGGTGTGGTTGCTGATCGCCTGATCGGCCGAGGACAGCCGAGGGCCAGGCCCAGGGGAGACGGGGCACACCGCTCTGCCAGGTGTTCGCAACACCGCAAGCGTGTACGTGTACCACGAGGTCCCAACTCCCAACCACCCAGGCACCCAGCTCACCCACCGCCCGTAGGCTGACCCACTTGTCAGTGCCCGCGCACGGTGCGCCTCGAGTGCACACGCTTGCACCCAGCCAGAGCCAGCCGCGTCGCAGCTAGCTTCGACTTCGAGGGCGAGCGAGCGGCTCACACAGCTGGTGACGCCGGCGCGACGTCGTATCCACGTACGGGAGATCGGAGAGGCGAGAGCCGACTGCGTGCTGACTCGTCCAATGCAAGACGTGCAGGATCGACGACGCCAGACCTCTTATCCTGTGCTGACTGCTAGTACTAATTTAATTAATGATGAGCACGGCGATGATCTGTCTTGTAACACCTCAGAGGCTGTTCGGCGGGACTAAAAAATAAGTCAAAATACTGTTCTGACTGATTGTTGTGAGGAAAAAATAATGTTCTATCTGGAAACACTGTTCACATGAACAGTGTCACTGTGAGTGCGCCGGCCAGTCAGCCGAACGCGCTTTTAGATTTTTTTCGTGGCTTATAAGCCGGCTGATGCTGTTTTTTTTAAAGAAAAATACTATACCATGGCTGATAAATATGGTTGATTCGATCAAACGAATGGGTGTAAATTAGTACAAGTACTGTACTAGATGATGAATAATCCGCGGAAAGCTACTCTAAAGTCCTTCCGTACCAGCAAGCAAACGAGACTTTTACTGGACGCCGCTGTTCTGTTCAGCAAGGTCACAGTCTCACAGTCACAGGAAAGCAGCAACTTGCTGATAAATTACAAGCCAAATCCCGTTTTCTGCTCCCACTTACGACCGATGATTTGGACTTTCTCGGTGGGGGGTAAAAAACTGTGAGGCGACGGCTGCGTGATGCTCGCCGCGAAAAGGAAAAGTGGAAAACCCTAGCATCCATGACCATGACCCATCATCCACTTGGCAAGAGTTGCTCGTGGCTAGGAAATAGTAATTTCAGGATCTGATCCAGATGCGGCTCGTGGTCAAAAACCCCAGAAACCGCGCTCATGCCTGTCTGAAGCTGCGTTTCTGAAGAAAATGACGGCGGCAGATTTTGACCGCCACGACTGCTACGTCGGAGAAATCTGGGATTGGGTGGGACTGGGACTGGGACTCCAGATGGTGTTCGTGTCTCCAAGCCGTCAGTTTCTGAAGCCGATGCCCCTGGGCTGCTGGAGTGAGTTAAAGGCCGGAAGGCCCGGAATGGGTCCGTGGGCCGGCTTGTAACAGCATTCCTGGAGACTGGGCTGGAGTGACCAGCTGGGCTCACAAGTTTGTGTGCTTTGCTACGTCTTCTCATCGTCCTCTAGCGAATTATTCCCCTCATATAACTTTGTTGCCGCAAGTCAGGCAATAACAAGCAGCACATCAAGATCAACCCTAAACAAACCGATTCAACAATGAACACCCATGTCCAAGAAGTCAACACAGCATCCCTCCTACAAGGCTAGAACCTTGACAGCAGCATAAGAAAGTGAATGGAAATCGCAGCAATGACACAATGGCATTCGACGAGGCCTCGGAGTCTCACACTCCCTAGTTTCTCCACCACCGGAAGGCAGTGCCATCAAAAGGTTCTCTCTGCCTGCCACTGCCACTAGCTAGAAGAGAAAAGGGCAATGAACAAGACACCCCAACAGCAGCAGCGGAGGAGGGGCGTCTCGTCTTCATGATCACGCGTCGAGGTAAGAGAGCGACGAGCGAGCAGGAGGCTAGCAGGACCAGCAGCCGTGTGGCCAGTCCGGCCGTCGGAAGGACGCCGGTGGCACCGCTGTTGTCGTTGAGGGCTGATGGACCCATCGTGGGAGGACTGTATACGCCGCTGTTGCTTGTCGCAGCCGCGCTGCATAACACAGATGAACACCAACAGTCAGCTCAGAGTTAGGATGACAAGCAGCTGCATGACACTGATGAACACGAACAGTCACAGCTCAGAGGTACGATGACAAGTCACATTGCTTTGACTTAATACCTATCAAGCGAAGAGGGCAAAGATACGTCTGGCAGAACCGGGCGTTAATGCTTGCTCGGCTGTCTTTGCTACACCAACAGTACATCAGTTCCTTTAATGCACTGTACTTTTCGGTGATCATACTTCCAAATGCGGTGTCTACATATTCCACATGTGGCGATGGTTATTCATTGGATGCTCTCGATTGCAATTTATTGAAGGTATTTTTACAGATAGGGACCAGATCATCTAATGACCTGATAATATTCCAGTTTATTAGAGCATCTACCGCAACGTCCGGGGTAAAAAAAAAACAGCTCCAGCAGACCTCCTAATACACTCCTATTTTTATTGGCATCCTACATTCCTACTCTTCCCCTTCACCCTCTATTCTTGTTGGCCCCTTACTCCACGTGCAAATTTTTTCCCCTTCTTCTTCTCTACGCTCGAGCATGCGGCTCTTCCTGGCCGGCGCGAGGTCCTTCCCGATGCCGACGGCCGTCCCTGGCGCGGTCATGCTACCGACGCCCCTCCCCCGCCCGGCACCTCTCCTCGTCCCGGCGTGCCCTGCCCGGGCGATGGTGCCCTGCCTCGGCGGGCATGGCTCCACGACGCGGGCGCGGCCAGCCCCAGCGGCCTTGCCCCGGCCCGACGCGGCTTCCCCGGCGGAGCGGCGTCCCGACGCGACTTGGCCACGGCCTCCTGATGCGGCGGTGCCTCCCCAGCGAGCGGCCCTCCCTCCACCCCTCGTCCCCTGCTGGCTCTGCTCGTGCGTGCAAGGAAGAAGAAGCTGATAGAGGATGACAGTCGGGCCTAATTCTAGGATGACAGTCGGGTCTAATTCTCACCTACACTTACACTGACCTGTTCGTGTCAGTTCGATTGGCTGGTTCGTATCGTTAATAGTTTATTTATATGAGAAAAAAGTACTACTGCCTGATTCGTACGAGCAGCATTTATATAAAAGGGCTGGCCGGCCAGCCCAGCCAGCCGCTCCCAGCCGATCAGGCTAAAAAAGGTAGGAGACGTGTTTTAGAACTATTGCCAGAGATGCTCTTACAAATACCACTGTTCCCCCAGTTTGAAAGGAGTCCAGAATAAGGGGGAAGCTACACGCAAAGTCAAACAAACGCACAAGCAAAAATGACAGAAAAACCCTAAGTTTCTGTGGCTTATAAGTTGCCTGATACTGTTTTATTATGAAAAAAAACATTATATCGTAACTGTTTTATTATGAAAAAAAAACATTATATCGTAACTGATAAGCATGATCAATACGATTAAGCGAACGGGGTGAGAAAGGGGCCGGTTCGGCGGTTTATCTAGCTCGGAGACGGAACCAGAAGGGTACAGGATTCCCCTAAAAAGACTCCAGGCATGAATACACACAGTTGTTCATCGATGCAGTCAAACGTGGGAAAAGAGAGAAAGAAACGGATCCCCGCTGCCACGCGCAAACCACCTTTATTCCAGGATTTTCCAACCCCAAGAACAGCAACGCGGCCGCCCATCGGACGGTACCGCATCGCTAAAAGGCTCCAAATCTGGCATAGCACTCACTAGGACCAGGGCACCAGGCTTAGGGGTTAAGCCTTTCTAAAGAGGGGCGAGCAGAACTGGTGATATCTTCAGGATGTTCAGGGAGTTGTCATTGCAAGATGGGTTGGAAAATGTTAGATGGCTTTTGCTCTGATTAGTGATTAATAAAGTCAGTTCAGTAGTGCCTCTGCCAAGAAATGCTGATGCTACGAACTCACGACAGCATGGCATATTGGCGTGTCTCTATCTCTATCTGTCAAGAAAAGCGAGAAAGGAGGAGTGGCGAAAAGTGGCAATGCCGTGCAAGGATTACCTTGGGGTCGCAGGGTACGTGCAGCCATTGCCGCCTGCAGCCACACGAAAGAAACAGGGAGTCAAACGCGGCGTCAGGAATCTCAAGCGAAAATCCGAAAACGTCTTGGGGATGCAGTTGACTCACTCGGGTCGTTGTTGCTGAGCGTGGCGGTGCCGGAGAAGACGCAGGCCTGCGGGTTCTGGTTGTTGCGCTGGTAGAAGCTGTTGACGGCGTAGGAGCAGTGCGCCTTGACGGTGTCCGGCGCGAAGCAGGCGCCGTTCTGCAGGATGGGCTTGCAGTCGGCGCCGCCGCCGCACGCGTAGTCCAGCGTCTTCTGCAGCGCGCTGTCCGCCAGGTCCGTGCGGCACACGCACCACGCGCCGTCTTGCAGTTCCAGGCACAGCCACAGGGCATACCAGCGGCGGCGAGAGCCGAGTTTCAGAAAAGATTGCAAAGGGAACCCACGGCGTGCTGAGAAAATCAGAAAGGTTGCAAAGGACACTACACACCTGAGCGGCCGGCGAGAGCGGCGGCCACCGCCACCAGCAGGAAGAGGCGAGCTGAGTCGGCCATGGATGCTGTGGCTGTGAGGCGGCGGGCGACGGCGGTGAACAAGCTCAAGGTACTCTACAGTGCGGCCGGCGGCGCCCCTTGTACAAATCTCTCTCTCTCTCTCTTCCTCGCTTGAACTGAAGCGACGACGAGGGGGTTTGGTTTAAATGCAGCAGCTTGGCAGTGCCCAGTTTTGTGAAGTGGCGTGACCCGTAGCATCGGGACGGGGAGGGCCGCGGGCGCAGGCGCAGTCCACTCCGCTGTCCGCTCCAACTCTGGTGCCGCAGCAGCCGCTGCCCGCCCGGTCCAGCGCCAGGCCGCCAGCGCCAGAAGGCAGTGTGGCTTTTCATGAACGGTCAAAAAACGCATGACCAGGCCAGTGCCTGCCTGTGGGGCTGGCTGGGTGGCATGGCAGGGCTGTGCCCCTGCGCTCCGGGACCCACCAGGGCCGCAGTAAATGCGACCAGTACTGGACGTGAGGGACACCGGACACTACAGGGCACACTGTTTTGTGGTGGCCTGCGGGGGAAACCCAAACCAACCATTCCCCAGCCCCAGGCCCGCATGGATTCGTGGGCTTGGGGCCCAATGGTCAATGGACCCTTCCATGGACCGTCTCTAACAGCGGTTATCTAAGATATATGATTCATTCCACATTTGGTAAACGTTATAAGCAAATGTTTAATATCTTATTTTTTATGTCTTCTTCAACGACAAGATCCCTAAAAGAGAACCATTTCTGTAAATGGGTCTTCAGGAGAGAGGATACTCATATTCGAGTTATATATCTATTGACATCTAAAATGAGTCTTTCATATAGGTATTATGTCGGAGGTTACAGATATTCTTTTGGAAATCCATTTTGAATTTAGGTCTCTAAATGGGTTTTTCGTTGGAAACAGCCTAAGCTATGCACATCTAAATGCATTACCTAGACCGAAATTACTATTATTACCATAGTATCGCCGGTCCACCAGACGCTAGCGTTTGTGAAAAGGCACGCAGTTGTCATTTGTCAACCAACTGGTTAGTTTAAAATTAACATGCTATATTAAGTATTACCTCTGCCGTAAAAGTCGTATAATTCTAGTCTACTCATATTCATACTATTTAAAATTTGACCAAAGTTTTTGATAATATTTATGATATCAAATAGATGTACTATTAAGATATATTAATGAAGAATTTAGTTATACTTATTTAGTATCATAAATATTGATATTTCTCTACATATAAATATATGATATTATATATATATATATATATATAAATAAATATGGTCAAACTAAACATTAAGAATGACTTGATATGTATAATTATATACTTTTTTGGGCCGAGGTTAGGTAATAGTAGTCTTGCTTGGATGCTAAGTTCGCTTAAACTTATCAGCTTAATTTATCAGGTATAATATAATATTTTTCTCACAACAAATTAGCGATCAGTACTTTTCAACTTTGGCTTTTCAGCGAAACGTGCCTGCATAATGCCAGTCAGCACAAAGAAACGCAGCACTCACGTGTGCTGCTGCATTGCGCATCTGGGCTTTTGCTATTTCTAAAACCGTTGAGGCGCTGTCGCGGTCAGAACTCACAACGCCCAACGCAGCACTCCCTATCCTTCCTGTAGGTAGTGGAGCAGCAGTAGAACAAAACGCAGACGCAGGACAAGAAAAGCGAGCCTACGAACATCAATTTTCGCGGTACATGGCTCTGAGAAAGCAATGTAGTATTGCAGGCTGAGAATGATAAGAGTGTGATTCTAAACGGGTTCTTCCTAACTTCTGTCTTCTGGTAAAAACAAAAGCCACAGAACATAGAAATGTGCATATGCACAAGCACACGCACGTAGCATTTCTAAACGAGCCTACGAAAACACAGTTTCTGACAGTCCATCGGGCCCTATTAGCTTGTCTTGTAATCCATGCTTTTTAGTTTATTTTTATATTTTTCTCTCACAACAAATTAAGCGGAACAGTGTTTCGGCTTGTTTTTTTAGCGAAGCAAACAGGCTAATTTTGTATCATAATAGACGTGAATTTATCACCCATCGTTGGGGTGGCGATCTCAACGGTGAAATCACTTGAAATCTGAAGTATGCAGCAGTAAGATTTACATATTTCCATTCATTACCACGGTTAGCTACATACATTTTCTGTTCTACGTTCAGTACACAGATAACAAAAATACAGCGTAGTTCACATGGGAGTGGTCATACAGTGCAGCAGCCACAGATCAATCCCAGTCAGCATCAAAGAACCCAGCATCCTTCATTTCAGAATAGTAGACGTTCTCTAGGAGCATGTCTTCCTCCTACACATACAAAATAAATCAGCAAAGACAAATTTCATTACAAGGTCACAGACAATTATACCAGTACACAAGGCTAAGGAACCAAGGAAGAAGCACTACACAGAAGCAAAGTAACAGATCATAGGCAAGAAGGTACCTGGAAGAAGTCTGCTAAGAAAGTCACATACAGGAGGGGAAGGTAAAGAGAATGATAGCATACGGTTGTGAGATTATATAACCTACAGAAAAAGGGGTCATCATCAAATATTGCTCTTGACGGTGAATAAGTTACCATAAAATTTGAAAATAGTGTTCTGTATGTACCATAAACCAAATCCAGCTCCACTTGCAACAAGGAAACATCCAAACAGTGATAGGCCATTCAATAGCAACATCGCACATACATAGTTGTAGTATGCTGGTTTTGCTGCAGAAAGCAACCACGAGATTATGGTCATGAAACACCAAACAAAAGAATTTTGAAACACACAAAGACAGTAACCGATTACCAGGCAGCCTGTCTCTCCATCTTGAATGATGCATGAAAACAATCAGGCCATAGACTCCAGTAAGCACAAGTTTGTGGAGAATCCACAGGCCCCATTTCCCACCAGTTCCTTGATCAGCATCAATGAACAAAGGAACACCAAAGCCAAAAACATATATAGTCTGAATAAGGACAAAGTCAGTTTCATAGGTAAGATAGGGTAAAAGGCTACAAGTGAGCTAGAGTATTAATGCGCTTTCCACTTGCAACATGATTTAACACATTGAAACGAGGAAAGGCGTGTCAGGTTAGGTTAAGTGATGGGGCCTTCCTGCCTTGTCTTTCATTGAGCAGCCAAAAAATCTTCTGCAGTGACATGAGATGAGCGGGCAAGATCTACTACCAATAGAAGTTCAGTACCAACTTGCAATAGCCAATCCACTATTATGGAACAGTGTAAACAAGAAACATATTATGTTCTCTAATAAATTAACATTATGGATCAGATACACCAGTCAATTAACTTTGATTGTTGCTAAGAAAGCAAATATGACACAGCATCGCAGAAATTTCTAGTTGGATCCCAAAAACTGCAAGAACTAAGTAAAGAAACCTAACACCCATCACTTATAAGAAAAGCTAGTTATTGTTCACTATGCCTGAATTTTGGAGTAGATAATACCTTGAGTAATACATCAGCAGCAACTACAGCTCCAGAGATAACAAAGGTTCGTGCCAAAGATTCAAAACCACTGGCATCATTTCCTTGAAGTAGAAAGGCTACAAGACTGACTTCCAAGAATAACATTCCTGATTTTGTAAACAGTGACAGTACATTCCAAGAGAATGCCCTGTCAGGCATACATTGCCATGCCTGCCATTTGAGGAAAAAAAACATGTTCCATACTTACATAAGAGGTACAGGTAATACACAATGTAAACAAAAACAATAAAAATGAAATTTTGGATTCATAAGGCAGGATTGTTCATCTCATTTTCATTATGTAGTTCTGTACAGCAGGACCATATCAAATCTAAAAATGGATTAATAATCCACTTATTTAGTAACAATACCAAGATGTGCACCTGAAATCTAAAGCCTAACAACCAGACCAATGTGAAGTACTATTTGACATCAACACCCAGCTACCACGGATTTTATTTTTCCTTAACCCAGCAGACCTTGCTACCTGTTCATCATTACCAGCTATCACATGACCACCAGGAACTTGCTCTTTCCTTTTTGACACCCACCAAAGCTTGCTACTGGCTCAACATTGAGATTCCCTGACCAGTGACCAGCTCCTAGCCTACCCATCCTACCCATAGGATTCAATCACGATGTGGTCTTCAGCTATTCCATTATCAAGTTGAAACATCAGAAGACTACTCAGGAAGACAGGTACAAACAACTCATGTTCACCAAAAGTTCACTTAATTTCCAGTCTTTTACCTACTTATTCTACTCAGCAATCGAACACTAGCAACACATACAAACATTACTGATTATCATTCAAACCTGAAAATACAATTCAAAAGTTTCATGATCTGGTATAGATTTCTCACAGCTCATTTTTACCAACAAGTTCATCTCTCGTTAGCTCCACTTGCCCCTACTTTTCAAGAAGGAATTCCTCCTGCCTTTCACTAGTCATAACTTAAACTACACGCACAGCATAGTACTTTTTTTTCATAGAAAGCATTTCCCTAATAAACATCTAATGACCAAATCAACAACCCAATCAAAGCACGGAGAGTTTCATAACCAGGCAATACGGGACTTAACGATAAGCAACAGAGGGAACCAATCGGAACCTGCAGGAAGCACCAGAGGAGGTTGAGTACGGCGACGGCCCAGAGGAGCGCGTAGTACGCGACTACGACGACGTGAGAGCGGCCGTAGCTGAGTGTACGGAAGCTCCGCCGCACCTGCCACGCCTGGAACCCCACGAAGGCCAGCGATGGCAGCATCACCGCCAGGCTGTACAACACCCCGTGGCACTCCGACGCCCACCATAACGGCCCCAGCGACACCGCAGCGCCGCCCGACGACTCGTTGGCCTCCGGCGCCACCGCCAGCGCCATCCCGCCGTCCGCGAGCAGCGCCCGCATCACCGACACCGGCCAGAACGCCGGGAAAGGGTAAGGGACGTGGGTGCGCGCTAGGGTTTGGGTCGGTGGAGGGATTCGGTTCGGGAGGTGGAATTGCACGGGGATCGATTTGCTCGATTGCCGAATCGGAAAGATTCCGCTGGCTTGTGGTGGGGACTGGGAAAGCCGGAGGCCACCGGGTGCGTCAAAAGAAGATGGAACGGAACAGTGGAACACCGATGGCTTCGTGGTGGGCCATAGGGCCCACACATGACGTTTTTGGACGGCCCGATAATAAGCTTACGCGCCAAAAGGCTTTCTTTTATTTCATTCTCTGCTAGTTTATAATCCGCATTTAAGATATTTATAATGATGTGCCAATGATTCTAAGAAGATAGATAAGATATAAATTACATCTAGATAAAACTTATATTTATTGCTAAAAAAAACTCTAGATAATATTTGATTTGGTTTTCAACTCTGTATGGATCAAGGAATGAAAACTATTGTTGTAAAAAAAAAAGGAATGAAAACTATAGAAAGGCTTTGAACTAATGAATGAAACTCTGTATGATTTTTAGAATGAACTAATAGATGCACAATTTTGTTCTAGCTCAGCCCAGCGCACGCCTTACTGAACACGGTATAGCGAAAAGTGAGTTCGATTTTTTTTTGAACCCGAACCTGGCCATTTTCCTAACAAAAAACAGCGAGCAACCCGCTTAGGCGCAGGACCGGCCTAAGCCTGGCCTAAAAAAGAGACCTGAAACAGCGGTCATCACCATCATATAGCAACCAGTCCGAAAGAACAGTAACATCTGAAAGTTACAGACAACTAGCATTAGCTATACTTGAAAAATGATATCACCGTGCTCCTACATCTGATCACATAACACAGGATAAGTCGCACCACCGTATTCCTACGTCTAAACTGAGAAGTTGCTTCTAATTTCCTAACAAAAGAACCCAATACGGCAACGGGAAAGCAGTACGTAGTATATCCTATGGTTCAATAATCCTACACAGCCAGCATTGCGGTGATGCACGACTGCTGGAAATTGGGACAAACGGGGGGGTGTAGACTTGTTAGTAGTCCCTGAACTGCCCTAGTTCAGTAAGCGACACATGATACTACTCAGCGAGTCTACTGGTGCTGCAGCAGCTCCATCATGTTTCTTGACAGTAGCTGTGCAGGGGTCCAGTCCAGATTTTTTAGCGTATCCATGACACTTTGCAAGTTGATAGACAATATACCACCGCTCCAAGTCCTGCAGCTCTGATGCCATATCATGTAATGTCATCATCTTCTCAGCACTGAGATACACAGGAAAATACATAAGAATGTCAAATCACGAGAGTATAGGAGCGTCATTATTATTGCAGTCACTGGAAATAAGAAAAGTATGAAATCGTGGACCAGTACAGAGGTATGTTTGCAGACGTTTATGATTAATTGCAGAATTCAAATACTGAAGCCTGTGAGTTGTAGTTCAACTATTGGTACACCATACCTTAACAAGGAAATTTCCATCTTGCCAAACCTCGACCCATAGGTTTCCAGAACTTCTGATAGGATTTTTTAGTCTTCCTTAGCAGAAGTGCTGCTCTGGTTTTGTAGCCTGGCCAAATACCACAAAATGAAGATTCTCAAGATCAATGTGAGATCTAAGTAGTCCCAAAACTACATAGATATTATGAATAAACCAGCCTGCTGATTATGACATGGTTACAGTACCTTATACTACATCAAGTCTTTTTTTAGTTTTTATGTAACTATAAAAGGTCGTGGGTTCGAAGCAGCCTCTCTGCAGATTTTACGGGGGAAAGGCTTGTCTCGGTTTATCCCTTCCCCAGACCCCACTCATGTGGGAGCCTCTGACACTGGGTCTGCCCTTTTATACTAACTCTGAAGATGTTAAAACCTCGGAGAAGGATACAAAAGGAAACGTATTCAAAAGAAAGAAAACAATGCTTACATGTCGTCATTCCCAACAGACAGAACAGTGTCACATGTGTCACTGAGTGCGAATTTAGAAAGGTGGTATACGATGGTTTCAGCGGAATTAGTAACATTTGTGGCAAGAAGTCTAGCTGGTACAACAGGAAGAATATACTGAATCAGACTAGTTGTCAAAACAAGTCTTTTCTGAGCTCGAGTACTAAAGCTGCTACTTCCCATTGTTGCATTCACACCATCTACCTGCTATGCACGATAAGGATGTCAGGCCAGGGGGAAATAATTGCACAACAGAAAGGGTTTTGCACGACATAGCGAAAATCATATAACCTTCTCAACCAATCTTTTGGTAGCACGAGCCCAATCCAACTCAGGAATTCTATAGACCAAAACAAACAAACAAACAAACATCAGCGGATCAGCCCCTTCGAACATGTATGTCAAGCCAAAAGGAGTTGCATAAACATTTTTTAACAAAAGAAGCAAGTCAAACTAAAGCTCAAATACTTTGTTCAAAAGATGGGTGAGTTCAATTAAAAATCAACACCTTCTGCGATGCCTGCTCCCATGCACGGTCATGACTTGTGCATGCCATGCTAAAAGCTTTTCTGTTGCCCTTTTCCGCTTTTTTTGCTGTGAAAAAACGACCTTCTCATCAAGCTTGTCAACCGGCAAAACACTTGAGTGGGAAGGTTTGCTTGCTGAGGGCATGGTACTCTGCTGAGGATCAACAATCTGGCTATAATCATCACAACCATACATGTATGTTTTAATACCCATACTCTCAGGAGTGTTTTGTTCAAAAGACTTGGGGCGGAGGATGCCATTGCATTCAGAATTGTATTTTTCTGTTAAATCTACTTTCTTGATCTCTGTTCCTTGAATACATGATAAGTTGAGGTCCTTGGACAAACTCAGGCCAGGCTCTTGAACAGAAGCAGTCTGTGTAATGGGTAGCTGCATGTCTGAGCATCCAAAGGTGCAATCCGTGACTACGTCAGGTTGTGCCGTCTGTAAAACTTTGGCTGCCATTGCCTCATCATGACATACAGAAGCCCCTATTGGACAAGATTGGCCATCCAAGCTACCAGTGAACTCTAGATACCAATTAGGAACATTGTCGGTCATTTCCAGCCTAGTAAATGATAGGACTTGATGCCCTACCAGAGTTGCTGCGCAGGTTATAGGGGTGGAAGAGGGGAGGACGTGGTCTGTACTCTCGACGTCGGCGAGGGGCCGTGGCGGCGGCTGCTGCTGCAGCCCTAGAGCTCACGTGAGGGAGAGAGAGGGTAGGGACGGCTGGCTCCCAAGGGAAGCCAACAACTTAATTGTTGCTTCCTGCTTAATTCCAATCATCCCACATTACAAGTATTTATCCTTCCCTATAGATGCTATAATTAAGGAACTATATCTATCTCTAAGAAGATACCAAATAAGCGATAAATTAGGCCTCTAAGCCCCTTAACAGACCGGCCCCCTAGCCACTATTGGGCCTACGCCTGGCATAGGGGATGCCGGTCATAACATCGGGCATAGGGGATGCCGGTCATAACATCTCTCCCCGCCTGCGCAAACAGCTCGTCCTCGAGCTGGAAGTCGGGGTAGACGTCGCGAAGATGCTGGAGAGGCTCCCATGTTGCGTCCTCTGCTGGTAGGCCGCGCCATTTGACAAGCACGTGCCACACGTCTCGCCGAAGTTGTGCACGAAGGGCGCGCTCCGGAGCTGGCAACAGCCGGTCATCCGATGTCGGCGGCAGAGGAGCAGGAGCCGCTAGGGGATCACCTTTGTGGGGCTTTAGCAGCCCCACATGGAAGACATCATGCAGACGGGCGCCCTCCGGAAGCTGGAGGCGGTACGCCACCTGGTCGATGCGCTCCAGCACTTGGAACGGACCGACGTAGCGAGGGCCAAGCTTCCCTTTGGCGCGGGGCTCGAGGGACTGGGCAGCGCGGTGGAGCAGGCGCAACCTACCCAATCCCCGACGACAAACTCCCGGTCGCGGTGGGACGCGTCGTAGTATTTCTTGGACAGCTGTTGTGCTTGGAGAAGCCTTTCCCGAATCTCCGCAAGCACCTCGTCGCGCTCCCGAAGAAGGCCGTCCACCATGTCCGTTCTAGCCGACCCGGCCGTGTAGGACAAGATGGCCGGGGGTGGCCGGCCGTAGACCACCTCAAAAGGTGTGGCACGCAGTGCCGTGTGGAAGGAGGTATTGTAGCAGTACTCCGCCCAGGGCAGCCAGTCCACCCACGCTCACGGCCGGTCACCTGTGACACACCGAAGATACATTGCAATGACCTTATTGACCACCTCAGACTGACCATCTGTCTGTGGGTGGAAGGCCGTGCTCATGCGGAGCGTGACGCCGGCCATCTTGAAGAGGTCACGTCACACATGACCAGTGAAAACCGGGTCCCTGTCGCTGACGATGGAAGAAGGGAACCCATGCAAACGAACAATGCCGTCGAAGAATGCACGTGCAACCGAGGCGGCGGAGTAGGGATGGCCGAGGGTGATGAAGTGCGCGTACTTGGAGAATCTGTCGACCACCGTGAGAATGACGGATTTACCGCCGACCTTGGGCAGGCCCTCGATAAAATCCATCGAGATGTCCGCCCAAACCTGGGACGGGACGTCGAGGGGCTGCAATAATCCGGCGGGCTGCAGGGACTCCGTCTTGTTCCGCTGACACAAGGTGCACGCCCGCACGAAGTCTTTGACAAGAGCGCGATCGGCGGGGATGTAGAAGTCCGAGCGCAGGCGATTGAGCGTCTTCTGGACTCCCTCGTGGCCCGCCGAGTGAGCCAGGAGGAGCACCTGATGGCGCAGGTCATCATAAGCTGGCACGAATATGCGAGCACCGTGGAGCAGGAGACCGTCGTCGACGCGCCAAGGTGCGGCCAGCGAGTAGCGGTAGGGACGAACCGCAACCGGTGCTGTGCCCGGAAGCAGGTGGATGCGGTGATCATATGGCCGCGCCGGTGGCAGCCCCTGCGGTTCGTCGAAGACCGGCCCGAACTGGTGGAGGAGGCGGTACAGCAGGGGCTGTGATGGGGCAGCCGTGACTGCCCTCGTGGCTGGCTCCCGAATGTCGTCGCGGGGAGAGCCAATGCCCTTCCACAGAATACGCCGGCCGCCGCGGGTGAATGCCATGCACAGATCCTCGAAGTCCCAGAGAATAGGACCCAAGGTGCGGAGGTACTCGACGCCGAGGATGAGATCGAACCCCCCGAGATTGATGCCGAAGCAGCTGATGGTAAACTCCTCCCCACCAATGGCGAGAGCGACGTCACGGGCGACCCCTTCGCAGGGCACACGGTCCCCGTTAGCCACCAGCACCCGCATGGAAGGATGGGGCGCGGTGGAGAGGCGTAGGCGGCGCATGAGGTTGGCGTTGATGAAGTTGTGCGTCGAGCCCGAGTCGAGGAGCGCCACGAGACGATGGCCATGAACATGGACCGGGAGGAGCATGGCATTCTCAGTACGGATGCCAGCGATGGCATACAGGGAGACGGTGGGCTGGGCTGCGGGCTCCTGGACGGCGGCAGGAACAACCTCCTAGGGTGCGGCATCCTCCTGGAAGGCTGCGACCGCAGCCACCTCCGCGGGAACCTCGTCGTCGAGAAAATCCATGGACTCCAGATAAAAGAGCCGTGGACACACATGGCCGCGCACATACGGCTCATCGCAGTTATAGCAGAGACCCTGGCGACGACGCTCCAATTGCTCGGCTGGAGACAGACGACGGAAAGGCCGAGCAGGGGCTGCTGACCCTGCTGTTGCTGGAACAGCAGCCGCGCCGGGAGCTACCGGAGGGTGCACCAGGGGTCGAGGGGGCACTGGAAGACCTGGTCGTTGGGGTGGCCGGGTGCCACGCTGTCCTGTGGTCGGCATAGTGGTGTTAGCCCGACGCTCGAACGCCCGGGCCAGATGCATGGCCGTCTGAAGGTCCTAGGGCTCCCGAAGCTCCACGTCGACTTTGATATGCTCCGGGAGGCCGCCCACAAACAGCTCAGCCTTCTGCGGGGCCGAGAGATTGCGGGCATGGCAGAGCACGACATTGAAGCGAGCCAAGTAGTCCTGCACCATGGAGGTGAACGGAAGGCGGGCGAGTTCGGACAGTCGGGTGTTACGAACCGCCAGCCCGATCTGCAGATTGCACAGCTCCTTGAAACGGTCCCAGGTGGACATGCCCTCATCCTGCTCCAAGGCGTAATACCATGTCCGTGCGCGCGCATCGGATGATGGTAGGACGCGAGCCAAAGCGATCTGAGGCGAGGGTACGCGCCCTCGGAAAAATTGCTCATGATGATTGAGCCAATTCAGGGGGTCCTCGAAGCCGTCGTAGGTCGTAAACTCGAGCTTGTAGAAACGCGGAGGGTGAGCACCACGAGGGCCCCATGCGCGCTACGGGACGAAGGGCTCCGGAACACCGCTGTGGACGGGAGGCACTCACACCTAGGTGCCCAGATCCAGTAGAAGAGGGGCCGTCGGAACCCCCATAAAAAAAAAGCCATCGGCTGGGGTCCCCGTGGAAGACCACAGTGGCGGTAGTGGGTGGTGGCACTCACCGATGTCGCGGCCGGGAGAGGTCGCCATGGTGTACACGGGCTGGTCGTCGAGGCTAAAGCCCACGATGGAATCGGCGAAGGGGGAAGGCGGCATCCGGAGGAGATGGATGGGAACGCCCGTCGTCTTTGGAGTAGGGCATCCCATATGGCAAAGACACCGGTGGTGGTGGTCGCATGGCCGATTCTTGGCGGCGGCGTGGCGCGCGCCGGCAGTAGGGGATGGATGGCAACCACCGAGCGAGTCAGCTCCCCGATGGCGGCAGCCACCTGATCCGGCGTCATCTGTGCCGCATGCTTCATCTGGGCCGCGGGCACGGAGGCAGGTGGCAGCGGCGAGGTGGTGACCACCGCGGCAGCGGAGGTGATCGGCGGCGGCAGATTGTTGGTGGGATTAGGGCCTGACATCTCTGATACCAGGTTGATAGGACTTGATGCCCTACCGGAGTTGCTGCGCAGGTTATAGGGGTGGAAGAGGGGAGGACGTGGTCTGTACTCTCGACGTCGGCGAGGGGCCGTGGCGGCGAGAGTGCGGCGGCTGCTGCTGCAGCCCTAGAGCTCACGTGAGGGAGAGGGTAGGGACGGCTGGCTCCCAAGGGAAGCCAACAACTTAATTGTTGCTTCCTGCTTAATTCCAATCATCCTAGATTACAAGTATTTATCCTTCCCTATAGATGCTATAATTAAGGAACTATATCTATCTCTAAGAAAATACCAAATAAGCGATAAATTTGGCCTCTAAGCCCCTTAACAGACCGCCCCCCTAGCCACTATTGGGCCTGCGCCTGGCATAGGGGATGCCGGTCATAACATCGGGCATAGGGGATGCCGGTCATAGCAACACTCTGTGGTTTCTGTACTAAAGTACCTTCACTTGTGGGCAGCAGGTGTGCTTTATCATTTTCCCCCAGGTTAATTATTGAACTGGGTTCACCAATACTTTTGCGACAGTCCAGTAAAGGCAATCCAGAACTTGACATATTTTGCCACTGAGATGCTGAAGCATAAAATAAGCCACATGTTTGAGAAGTAGATTGATACTGTTCAGGATAAGAAGATCCATCAGATATAGCTGACTCCAGTGGTCCAGTTTGCATATATGGGGTAGTATTACTAAAGCATGCAGCAGAACCACTTTCATCCAATTCGATCTTCATACCAACCTCAACCAAACTGTCGCTGCATTTTAACACATTTGATTAGATCGCAACACAGAAATAATAAATTGGGCAGTGAACTTAAGAAGAAATAAATATTTGATTTGATACAGAAATGTGGACAGATTGCTAGTTTTAGTGTTAATAGCAGAGTAAGCTACTAGCCTACTATGACCCATCTGACTGAAAATAGTGAATGCCATTACCAAAGAAGCGGCGGGCCTGGTGCAAGTGGTAGAGTCTTACCGCCTGTGACCGGAAGGTCTCGGGTTCGAGTCGCAGTCTCCTCGCATTGCACAGGCGAGGGTAAGGCTTGCCACTGACACCCTTCCCCAGACCCCGCACAGAGCGGGAGCTCTCTGCACTGGGTACGCCATTACCAAAGAAGTGTTTGGCAGTTACATTTTTGTTACAAACCAAAAATCCATCTATAGAAATAGTTAAGCCCACAGTTATAAGTGTTGCAGACACCATCATGCTGTTACTGTGAAGAACAAGTATTAGTAAAGTTGCAGGCTCCTAATTTCAACATGAAAATGAAATGAATCATCAATGATATGATGACACTGCAGCACCTCAATTTACCTTTGTTCAAACATTCCACATGTTTGTGGAAAGGAATCAGTTGATACACCAAAAGAATTTAGAAGCGAATCAATTTCCATTTGCTCTTCACATTCATACAAGAGGGGTGACTTTTTTGAGCCATTATCCACAATTCCATCTGCAGTATATACAAATGAACTTGACAGTTGATGTGATATATCATTCTGTCTGTCTTCAGTGCTTGGCATAAAGCCAGAAGATTCTATGTGGCCAGGATTTGTTCCCCATTCAGCAGAATGCATTTCACCTCGGCTTCCATTAACATGGCTCCTTGTGGGCCCTTTATGATGAGGCAGTTCGACCTCAAAAGATAATTTGTTTTGCTCATTGTTATTCATCTTATGTTGGAGATCAGCAAAGTTCTGAAAGCTACAAACAGTGGAGGCACTTGTGAGGGTGGTCTCAGTATCACCAGGGAAAGACATATAACTTGAGGTGAAAGATGGGCTTTTTAAAGAGCCATTGTCCCAAACAACTTGATGCTTCATGGTATTCCCACCTGACAGTTCTGCATGATTGAAAGTCAAGTCACTGCACTCTTCATTGAGTCCATTGTCACTGTTGGATGCTTCCAAAGCCTTTTGCATTTGCATAAGGGCATCCCAAGTTCCATCCCGTGTGCTCGAAATGTGGCTATTGCTTTGCAAAGGAGTATTATATGGATAACTCGCAATTCCTGTGCTACAACTACTTCCAAATGAGATAGCTCTGTCATCATTGTCATAGGAAGTTAGTTCTTCTGTATGATCAAGACAGGATGCATTGGAAGGTCTACGACGGTGGATGATATTTGTGTTGATATTTTGCATCTGCATTCCTTCATGCACTTCAGGCTGAGGAGGCCCCAGAAGGTAGTCAAATTGTTGATATCCTCCCACCACAGCAGAATCATTATTTAGACCAAACTCTGCAGCATTCACGAGAAGACCTTGGGCTTCAAATCCCTGCTTTGAAACAGAACAACTGTACTGTAAAGCTCGGGTATAGAATTCCTGATTAGCATCTTGTGGAAGACAAAATGTGTTTGGGTCAACTGACAAATCTTTTGCACTCGGCCCATCCACATTTACCAAAAGTTCAGCACAATCGCTAGACTGGGGACACAGCTGCAAATAGGCTGGCCCCCTGAACCTTGAAACAGGAGTGGTGCTCATGCTTTGATCACTTGATCAGCATCTGCAGGTGATTGGATCCAAAGATTTACACATACCAGTTAGAATTAATCAGATCAACAAAACCTGCAACAACTGTAAGACCCTAAGAGTATCTCCAAGAGTTTGCTATCTCAACTTGGCATCCATATAATTTTGGCAAAACAAGAAAAAATAGCCTCCAACAGTTTGGCAAAACAACTTGGCATCAATAGCAACTTGGCAAATCTTCCCTCCGCGTGCGCAAATATGCGCGCGCGTATACGGCTTGGCATCCGGGGCTCTTCGTTTCTTAGCGGGGCTCTTCGTTCGCTTAGCGGGCCTCTTCGTTTTGTTAACGGGTTTTTTTATTTTACCAAGTCAAAAATGCCAAACTCTTGGAAATGGATTGTTTTTATACTTGACATATAATTTTGGGAGTTGGCAAATCACAAGATTTGCCAAGTAAAATTTGACAAACTCTTGGAGATGCTATAATTTCCCATTTGACATCTTATGACCTACGAAAAATCACCTCATGTCTATGTGCTAAGAAAACTAAATAGAAGAATACCGCACAGTATAAAACTAGAACGGCAAGCCGCGAGCTAGAGATTAAAGAAAGGCATGAACCATCCCCCCAACCCAAGCTTAAAAACTCACCGAACAAAACCCTTGAGCTCTAAAACGCCCAAGGGCATCGACATTCACACTGAAGAATCAACAACGAGCCACCTCAAAGCTCAAGCTAATTAACAACTAGAACGGCTAGCTAAGCAACCAATCAACTACGAGAATAGCTAAACAAACCACCGACAGAAGTAATAAGCGTGCGCGGCGAGATGAAGCGAGGCCTTACGAGCAACCGGTGAGGTCGAGTGTAGCGGCGGCTCGGCGGTGAGCTCCTGGACCCGCTCCTAGCTGCTGGGCTGTCTCGCTGGGTTAGGGTTTTGGAGCTGGGAGCGGAGCAGCCAAGGCGATCACCAGTGAGGGAGCACAAGGAAGGGAGCGCAGACTGCGCAGTGGGAACGCGGAAGCTGCCTGCCGAGTTGCCGACTTGTGCGCTTTGACATTTCTTTCAGCGGTCGGCGACCGGGCGGCGGGGGCCGCCAACTGGGCCGTACTGGCCCGGCCCGCGTGGGCCCACGTATAAATCTACTTTTTTAGCATCGTATAAATCTACTTTTAATCTCTCTCTCTCTTTTTTTTGAGAATTAATCTCTCTCTTTCTCATCCCTCCAGAGTCCACAGAAGAGAGAGAGAGGAGCGAGCGAGAGAGAGAGATGAAGGAGGGATCGTCGTCGGGGGGAGGGGCGTTCGCTGGGGGCAGCGATCCGAGGCAGCCGTCGACGGCGAAGCCGTACGCGCCGCCGAAGCTGTCTCCCCAGGACCTGCCCATCGACTACGCGGGCTTCCTCGCCGTCGTCTTCGGCGTCGTCGGAGTCATGCTCCGCGTACGTAACCATGTCACCCTCTCTGATCTGAATTTGATTTCCGAGTAATGTTTAGATCTGGACAAGTTAGTGGTAGATCTGCATGCTCGAGCAGTCACGTGTGAGTGATGTGTGTTACCTTATGAGCTATATTGATGGTGACGTTATGGTTGCCTTACTGGGCTGCACGCGTCGATATGGTTTCGGTTTCTAATCGATTTCGGTTTGCAGTACAAGGTGTGCTCGTGGATCGCGATCATCTTCTGCGCACAGTCGTTGGCAAACATGAAGAACTTCGAGAATGATCTGAAGCAGCTCTCCATGGCCTTCATGTGAGTTTTCTTAACATGTGCATTGAACTATGAATTTGGCTTAGTACAGAAAATCTAGAGCAGCATAGCGACATATGCTTACTCAGTTTACCAATAGACTCGGACTATCTTTTCATACTGTAAGCCTACCAAAATACAAACTGATTTGGAAACCCATATTTTACTTGTGTATACTCAAAATTTTCTCCAAATTTTCATTTGTAGCATCGGCTCTTGCTGAAATTGTGCAACCAAACTTTTAATTATTTAGTTCATTCATTGCTCCTTAGTTATTGCCATATGTGCTCCTCAATTTATGGGTTGTTTGTTAACGCTGAATTGATTTGTGCCATGGTTAAGTAAGACTAACATTTCTGCCTATGTTATGCTGCAATCCTTAGGAATTGGTTATAATTCTATTATAGGCTTATTGATGCAAAATATAACCTTTCGTTGTTACGGATGTTACAACTGTGCTTCTTGACGTGGAGGCATGCAGCTCCTGACTCCTGAGTCACATTTACTATGAGCTTCCATCATGATTTTACAAAGAGTAAAGTGTACTGCTCAAACATGTTCAGAGGTGTCAAATAGGTCACCAGAGACTACGGTTCCTAAACTTGCACTAACATGTAACTGTTAACCCTAATTTAAACTTCAAGTTTCTAAGCTTGTTAATTAGTGCACTCAAGGTCCAAATCTCCCTTATTAGTGCTGATCCGTCAGTCCATCTATTTAGCATATACATGACATCCAGAAGGTGTCACTCCTGTCTTAAAGGAGATACGGTGGCTAGCAACACTTCTGCTCAGTTGGACGTGTGTTCTGAGTTTGATGCCCATGTGGGCATTTAATTGTTTACTTGTTTAGACCGTAATGTCCTGTGTATAAAGCTTGGTTTTGAGTCGGTGTTCAACGTGAGTTTTTAATGCTTTGTTGCTATTTTGGTAGTAAGTTTTTTGGCCACACTATCTAAGCTCTTGGTGCTTAACTGTGTGAGCAGTTTAAATGGTAGTGACGCGACAAACATGGATGACTTAATCCTGCTTTAATTTCGTTGCTTTGGTATTGAAATTTGGGATTCCCGTCGTGGGAAAAAAGAATGTGTCATTCCTCTCCGGCGGATGTTGCTTGATTTGTGGGAGAGGAGAAATGAGAGACATGAGAGTGGTGTGTTGCTGCCATGGGGGTTGCTAGTACGCCACATGGGCAGTCGCACATTAATTAGCAAGATTTGGACCTCGAATGACAGACTTAGCCAATTTGAGGACATGAAGCTGCAAATTAATATTTCAGGGACCTATGTGATGCTTCTGAACAAGTTTAAGGACTGCTGAGTGCTGATGCAATATACTTGTTTACAAAATTTATAATTGTGCCACTCGAGGTTCAAATATCATTCATTGGCATATGCTTGCCTATTTGGCATGCCAGCATGACCATCTGAGAGAAGGAGGGAACCGCCGGTGTGCTTTACTCTTTACAAACATAGCACTCTACCGCAAGTAATATCATAAATATGTGATACAAAGTTTCTGTTCAGGGTCTGTTTCTTAAGACTTCTGTTGCGTTGGATTTGTGATCGCACAAGGATGGACCGAGTTCGGAACGATGATATACGTGATCGTTTAGGGGTAGCACCAGTTGAAGAAAAACTTGTCCAACATCGGTTGAGATGGTTTGGCCATGTCCAAAGGAGACCTTCAGATTGTGGAGTCCTAAGTCGAGATATCAATGTGAGGAGAGGTAGAGAAAGACCGAAGTTGACATGGGGGGAGACAATAAAAAGATATTTAAAGGGTTCGGATATATCTAGAGATCTTTGTTTGGATAGGAGTGCTTGGAAAAAGCACTATTGGCGTGCTTGAACCGTGACTAGGGGCTCATGTTGGGTTTCAACTCTAGCATACCCCAACTTGCTTGGGACTAAAAGGCTTTGTTGTTGTTGTTGGCTCTGGTACACTGGGATAACTTCAAATAAAAATGAGTAGGAGTTTTGATTGATAAGAGCCTCAAGGATGGTGTGGTAGAGGTGAGAAGGCAAGGGGATAGGATTATCTTAGTTAAACTTGTCATTAGTGATATGGTCTTAAACGTAATTAGTTCGTATGCCCCCCAAGTAGGCCATGATGAGAGTGCTAAATGGCTTTTCTGGGAAGACTTAAATCGCTTGGTTAGAGTTGTCCCTAGTAGCGAGAAGCTCTTTATAGGAGGTGATCTTAATGGTCATGTAGGTACATCAAGTGCAGGTTTCGAGGCGGTTCATGGGGGTTTCAGATATGGTAGTAGGAATTAGGAGGGAGAGGAAGTCTTAGACTTCACCATAGCTTTTGATCTGATGATAGCTAACACTTTCTTCCGTAAGAGACAGTCCCATTTAGTAAGCTTTAGTAGCGGCCAGTACTCTAGTCAAATCGACTTTGTCCTTACAAGAAGGAGGGATAAACGAACATGCGTGGACTGTAAGGTGATACATGGAGAATGTGTGGTCGCTCAACACAAGCTGGTGGTGGCTGACTTCCGCTTTCTGGTGCAAGCTCGTGGAAAAAAACAAGCTAGGGTTGTTAGAACGAAGTGGTGGAAATTAGAAGAGGAGGCATCAAAGGTCTTTAAGGAAAATGTCATTGAAGAGGGCCCTTGGAATGATGAAGGCGATGCAAACAACATATGAGAGAAGATGGCAGCATGCGTTCGGAAGGTTGCTTCAGAGGTGTTTGGAGTGACCAAAGGGAGCGGATGTGACTCGAAAAACACTTGGTGGTGGAATGGAGATATGCAAAAGGCTATTAAGGAAAAGAAGGAGTGCTATAAGCGCTTATATCATGACAGGTGTGCAAACGACATAGAGAAGTACAAGGTGGCAAAGAAGACTGCAAAACAAGCGGTGAGTGAGGCAAAGGGGCGGGCCTATGAGGGCCTGTACCAACATTTGAGTACGAAGAAAGGAGAGAAGGACATTTATAGGATGGCTAGGGCTCGCGATAGAAAGACAATGGACTTCAACCAAGTCAAGTGCATAAAGGATGAGAGGGAGCAGCTCTTGGTGAAAGAGGATGAGATCGGACATAGATGGTAAGAGTATTTTGATAAATTGTTCAATGGTGAGAACGAGAACACCACCATTTAGCTGGACGACTCGTTTGATGACACTTACAAAGCGCTTTGTGCGGAGGATTCAAGAATCGGAGGTCAGAGAAGCCTTGAAAAGGATGAAAGGGGACAAAGCGATGGGCCCTGATGGTATTCCAATCAAGGTGTGTAGATGTCTCGGTGATTTAGCTATAATATGGCTAATCAAGATGTTCAACTGTATCTTTTGATCGAACAAGATACTTGAGGAGTGGAGAAGAAGCATATTTGTACCAATCTACAAGAACAAGAGAGATATCCAAAGTTGTACTAATTATCAGGGAATTAAGTTGATGAGCCACACTATAAAGTTATGGGAGAGAGTCATCGAGCAGCGTCTGCGAGGAACAACGCAGATATCAATAAACCAATTTGGTTTCATGCCCGAAAGGTCAACTACAGAAGCAATCTTCTTAATAAGACAGTTTATGAAGCGGTTTAAAGAGCAGAAGAAGGACATTCACTTGTTTTTATTGATTTGGAGAAGACTTATGACAAGATACCAAGAAATGTTATGTGATGGTCTTTGGACAAAAATAAAGTCCCATCAAAGCACATGACCCTCATCAAGGACATGTACAACAATGTTGTGACTAGTGTTCGAACAAACAATGGTAACACAAATTACTTCCCGATTAAAATTGGACTTTATCAAGGCTCAGCCTTAAATCCGTATCTCTTTGCCTTGGTAATGGATGAGGTTACCAGGAACATACAAGGGGATATGTTTTGGTGTATGTTGTTTGCTGATGATGTAGTGTTAGTGGATGAAAGCCAGGCATGAGTAAATAGAAAACTAGAGTTATGACGGCAGACCCTTGAGTTTAAAGGTTTTAGATTGAGTAGAACTAAAACCGAATACATGAAATGCGACTTTGGCGGGGTTGTACAGAAGGAGGGAGATGTGAGTTTGGAAGGTCAAGTAGTGCATAAGAAGGATACCTTTCGGTATCTGGGATCGATGCTACAGAGGGATGGGGATATTGATGCGGACGTTAGCCATAGAATCAAAGCATGATGGATCAAGTGGCGACAAGCTTCTGGCATTCTCTGTGACAAGAGGGTACCACAAAAGCTAAAAGGCAGGTTCTATAGAACGGCGATTAGACCGGCTATGTTGTATGGAGCAGAATGTTGGCCTACAAAGATTCGACATGTTCAACAACTGAGTGTTGCAGAGATGCGTATGTTGCGATGGATTTGCGGTCACACAAGAATGGACTGAGTTCGGAACGATGATATACGTGGTCGCCTAGAGATAGCACCAATTGAAGAAAAGCTTATCCAACATCGGTTGAGGTGGTTTGACCATGTCCAAAGGAGACCTCCAGAGGCACCGGTGCATTGTGGAGTCCTAAGCCAAGCTAATAATATGAGGAGAGGTAGAGGAAGACCGAAATTGACATGAGGGGAGGCAATAAAAAGATATTTGAAAGATTGGGATATACCTAGAGATCTATGTTTGAATAGGAGTACTTGGAAAGCAGCTATTGATGTGCCTGAACCGTGACTTGGGTCTCTTGGTGGGTTTCAACTCTAGCCTACCCCAACTTGCTTGAGACTGAAAGGCTATGGCTGTTGTGAAGACTTCAGGTTGACATATATCAACTTGCCCAGTCTACACATGTTGTGTTGCTCCAAATTAATACACCCTCCATTCATATTGTCATTTTAGAAATCACTGTGGTCCAAAACACTTTAATCAACAGTTTCTATTGTAGTGTATTTGTGAAATTAGATATAAATGAAACAATCATATGAGTATTTGACACCTATCTTTGAGGGGAATAATTGACATGAGAAAGTAACTGATACCACATGACATATGTGCTTCACATTGTTTGTCAAACAATCATTAATCCAAAAGCAAGTATTATAACCAGATAATTGATAACA